GTATATAATGAACAAACAACAGAGCTGGAAAAAAGAAAACAATCCTGCTTCCGACAACTGCCCACTCCATCTATCTGTCCTTAAGCAGGTAGGCTGAACAAAATCCCTGAGGCTGAAGCTGCCAACAGAGCTTCCAGATTCCAAGGACTGTCAATCGATTTCAGCCCACAAGATGTCACTAGCAGATTGTACTGAACAGGTGTTTTTCAGTCACTCCACACCCATTCTCCTTTCAGCACCACAACTTCCTTATGAGCAATTACCTCTCCCAGCACATGCAGGATTCGTCAGAGAACACAGCAGAGGGCCCCGGGCTTCCTCAACCAAAGCACACCACCAAGCACAGTTATCTCCCTTCTCTCCTGGGCCTCCCTACCCATCCAGATAATGTAAGGAAGGGGGAGAAAACTCAAGAGGGGACTCACGCCAGGTGTGGCCCCTTATGAGCCCTGCATCTCTGTAGCAGTCCCAGCTTTGCTGGATGAGGCTGGTTGCTCAGCTGTCCTTTGGTTCTGTGAGTCATTCACAGACTTCTCATGCTTTCCTGTTTTGTTTAACCTAAGCAGGGTCAATTCCTATCCCGTGTAACCCAAGGAGCCTGGCACTGTGGGGAGTGGAGTGGCTCTCCTTATTCCTTCTTTATAAAAACAAGGCATGACCTCCCTTTAAGCGAGCACGCATATGCCCTGAGCCTTGCCTTAAAGCCAACGGCAGAAATGAATAAAGGCTGGGTGTAATTATATACATTACAAGTCAGCGGCCATATTCTGAGAATCAAGTTCTACTATGTCCAGAGGAGAAAACTGCCAGGCTCGCATTTTGAAGTAGCCCATGAAGCTAGAAGGAGTTGAAAATTGGTAGTGGTGGAGGTCTGGGGCAGAACTAGCCTACAGGCATGGAATAGGGTAGTATTTCACACCTTTTGAATGACTTTGGGCTGGGAATGCTCTCTCCTGCAGCACAGTCCCATTACCACCAACTGTATCAACTTCTTCACTTTCCATGGCCTGCCTGGACCCGATATGCCATTGTGACATCGTGTTCTTTCATCCTCTGACTCCCTGGTTTTCCTACCTCCGTCTACAGAACAGCAGAAAGGGGAAAGCACAAGCATGCGTATACACGCACACTTTTTCTCAGCTCCACTCCTTCTCTCTTGCTCTTCCATAGCTAGAGCAGCCAAAGTTTTAGAATTATAAACACACCATGCAAAGATGGACCTCTCTTTCCCAGCGGAGAATGCATACAATGGGCAGTGCTGCTTTCAGTTGTTCAGCCCACAATGTGGAAACATCAACACCCAGGATTCACTGAGGTGAGCTCAGTGGCTGCCTCCTACAAGTTCAGAGCCAATGTGTGGGTCAAATTCCAAAAGAAAGCTGGAAATACCCCGTCACTTGGGTTTTAGTGGAGGGCACCACCTCTTCCCGACTTCACCTCTCAAAATCCCAGCTCTCCAGTTGACACGACGAACCAGCCATGCTCTCATGACGATGAGGAATTAGGCCTGGTGCTCGGGACACTGCTAAGGAGTTTCCGGTCCCTTCTTTCCTGGTGTGGCATTTTTCATGCTCCTCTAACTGGCCTGAACACAAACCACTCGGGCCATGTGCAGACTGCACAGACCGTGGAGAGACAGTGAACCTGCAGAAGTTGCCTTATGTTCAGATCCCTGCTCCGTCAGTGACTGAGCCACCTCGGGTGGGCCTTCTAGCTTGTTGAAACCTCAAGGGCTGCTGGAGGACTAAATGCCCAGCCTAGGCACATAACAAAAAGCTGGGGGTTGTTTTGTTGTATGTGGGACATAGTCAGTCCTTGAGATAGTCCTTCACTCACAGCTGCTCCAAGGACCAGCTCCAGGATGCCACCACCTGCCTCGCTTCCAGCCTCAAATTTGTATCACTGAAGTTGGTTCTCCACATTTGAAAACTTCTGCTTTCAGAAAAATTATCCTTTTTTTTTTTTTTAGATTTTATTTATTTATTTGTCAGAGAGAGAGAGGGAGAGTGCACAAGCCAGGGGATCAGCAGGCAGAGGGAGAAGCAGGCTTCCTGCCAAGCCAGGAGCCCAATATGGGGCTTGATCCCAGGACCCCGGGATCATGACCTGAGCCCAAGGCAGACGCTTAATGGACTGTGCCACCCAGGTGTCCCCCCCAAAATTATCTTTAAAACATAAATGTTAGCTTGGCAGGACAGGAGAGCTCTGCAGATCCCCTTCTCTATTACATTCACTCAGTGATTACATGGTCATCGTGGAGGGGGGGGTCTCTCTCAAGACTCTCTCTCCCTCTTCTCTTCCCTCTCTCTACAGAGGCCCTTACCCCTACCTATGCCTTTATGTACTTCCTAAAGCTCAACTCACATTTCTTTCCCTAGCTCAGCCAGTGCCTCTGAGCTCTAGACCCTTCGACCTAACTTCTTATTTGACATTTTCACCTGGATGTTCCACAGGCACCTTGAACTCCCCTCCACATCTCCGTTGTCTCTAGTCTGGTTCTTCTCTGGCGTTTCTTTTCTCAGTGAATGGTTCCACCCTCCATCCAACACGGCAAGCAGGAAAACCTGGCACTCTATCTCTCTATAGCCAGCTCCTCACCAAGCCCTGCTGATTTTACCTCCTAAATACCTCTCTGGTCCATCCATGTCTCTCCCTTGCCATTGCCCTGTCTCTCAATTCAACTACTGTAACCTCATCTCTGGAAGACCATCCTTGTTCCTGGCCCTTCTCCTACCCTCTCTAGTCCATTCTCCAACACAACCAATGGATCTTCAAAAATGCAAATCTTATCGTATGATATTCAGTTGAATATCCTTGAAGGCTTCTCATTGCTTCCTAGATAATAACCAAAATCCTGAACCAAAACTGTTTAGCCTTGCACAGAAGGCCTGCCTACCCCTCCCACCCAACTCAGGCCAGTACTGCCCCGCCCAGCTCACCACACTGGCCTTCCTGCTGCCAACCCCCTCAAAGTTGCCCCTCGGGATGTTGTAAATGTGGCTTCCTCCACACCAACCCCCACTTCTACCTTGCTGCTCCTAACTGCTCTCTTTCTCTCAGAGCTTATTCCCTAGGTTGCTTACTCCCTAGGTTGCTTACCGGGGGAAACCTTCACTAACTTCTCAGTCAAGGTCAGGGCCCATTATAATAACTTAGTACCTTATCCTTTCCCTTTTTAGTATGCAGCATAGATATGTTTATTGATTGTGGCTGGAGTCTGTCTCCCCCATCAGACTGTAAGCTCTGTAAGGGCAGAGACCATGACTGACGGCTCACCCTTTCCACTCCAGCAATGGATTAAACACATGCTTACATAACACACATCTATGAAAGTCTATCATGTGCCAGAAACCATACATGAGTTTTCCTAAATTATGTATGTAAGGGCTTATGTAGGATCTCACCCTGTGGGACATGGAAAACAGTGTACTTCTAAGTAGATCTGCAAGGTGGATGAAGTGGGACAAATAATTAAAATGATGCCAAGTTAAAAGTCCAAAAGCAAGGGGAGAGTGCCAGGCAGGAGGGTGAGTTAGGCAAACAGGGCAGCAGGCCAACCCCAGAGGACAGAGTTGGTGGAGGTATGGAGGATTGCAGGGTGAGAGCTTGGCAAGGGACAGGACAGAAGAGAAAAAAACGAGGCTAGTTGCCCACTGCTCAGTGTTCTAAGGCTAGCCCCACTCTCTGTACCAAAAGGTGTTACTGAATGTTCCAGTTGCCCAGCAGAGAACTGACCCAAGAGGATCCCAGAAATAGAACAAAATTTCATACAGCCGCTCCTCACCTTGCCAACCATTCCTCCCTACTCTCCTAACTCCTGCCAAATCGCAAGGAATCATCCACCAGCCCCAGGTGCTGAATTATTCAATTATTCTAGCAGCTTTCAAAACATGTGTGCAGCTAGAAAATCTCCCAAAAAGAATTGTGTTATTTAGGCTACTAGGTCATTTCTTGAACCTCTTTTGAATCCTGTTTTGCTTCGCAACTGTTTTTCCATTGAATAGTAGGTCATTGGCACCCCACCTTTCCTAGCAAAAAACAGTGGCAAACATAGAATCACAAGAAGATCTGCCACGAATTCTGCAGTTACACACAGGCGGGTCCCGCCCCCATCCTGCCTGCAGTCCCCAGGCTCCCATGCTCGCCCCAGAGACCAAGGTCTACGGCAGTGCCTGAAATACATAGTGGACACAATGGCAAAGAGTCTGAATCTCCAACTATCCACTCTGCCCCTACAAACACACCAACCTGCCTATTTCTGTTAAAAAAAAAAAAAAAAGAGAGACTTATACCTTCTAATTCCATCACAATGCTAAAATTTCCGAAATAATCTGTCTGCACTTGGATCTGGAAACCCTCTTCAATGCCTCACCCACAACCCACCCACCCAGTGTGTGTCAGCTCTCTGAGATATTTTCTTTGAGTAAAACAAAGAGAATGTGTTTTGGGGGGGGGGAACTAGTCACGAAATAAGCCTATAAGACTCCATTTTAGCACGAAGCTGCTTCAGGAGTCCTCTATTTCTGGCTCTGAAGAAGCAGAGCATGAAGAGCAGTTGGCCTCTCAAAAATGCAAATATTTGCCAGCAGTAACTTTTAACCCCAAGTCAATTACAAAACTCACATAGGAGAGAATGACATTTTTCATTTAATCAAAAGCAGTCTGAGCCACAAAGTCTCAGACACTGCCCTCAAAACCTCAAATGTGGCTACCAGAGAGAATTACACTAACAGAGGAGCATCGCTTTGGAAATAGATTAAGGCAACCTTGCAAATAGTCACTTGCCCACACTAAGCACACCTGTCAGCCAAGGGACGGGGTCGGGGCGGGGCCGAGCTGTGCTAAGCAATGAGAACACATCGCTCATTCACACAGGTGTTGCAAGGAAGGACCAAGCTCCGCCATGATCCCCTCCTTCCCAAGTGTCCCAGGATACCAGCTGTCCCAGGAGAAGGAACACACAGACTCATGCCTCATTCTTCCTCTCCATTCTTCCTTACCATTTCTCCATCTGTTTAGCTCCATCTCCAGATGCTGGATAACGTTCTTCAGAGTCTTGTTTTTCTCTTTCTCTTTTTCGTATTTCTTCTTCCATTCTTCTGCTGTCAGTTCCAGATTCACCGAGACTGTATTCTTGATGGTCTTAGCCCTGGAGTCAAAGACGGAAGGGAAAAATTCTGAGAGTAGCCATTAGCATTAGCTACATCATGAATACAATTAAGCCTCAAATGCTTTCGTATCCGAAGGCTGGGACTGGGGGAGCAGAGGGGACCCTGGGACCTACTGCCTCCTCGCTCTGTTACTGGCACCGCGGCCCTGAAGGCTCCACACTCAGAATTCCCTTTTCTCCTTTCCCTCCTACCAGTCTAAATTCCAAGGCTTTTCCCTTGAATTGTCTCCCAGGGCCACCTTTTTCTGTTCCCCCTGCCACCATCTTCATCTATGTTCTCAGCCCTGACTTACGGTGATGGTCTTTCTCAAGCACTCAGCACCCTTCTCTAAGCATCTTGTATGGCCCTGCCAGGTTCATCTTCCTAAGAAGGTTCCTTTCTATCTTAACATTTAGGAAACACTGGGGTTATACCAAGGCAACTGAGACAAAGTCTACAGCCCTGTAGAGCTTACAGTTTCTCCTACCAATAAACTGACTGAAGTAGTGCAATCAGTTTTTTCTGTTACTCACATTTGGTACCTAGAATCATCCCCAATGCATTGAACACATGTCAACACATGTTTCCCGGGACGGGTGGGCCACTTAATGGTTTCAGTCCAGCCAAGGGAAACCAAGGCTCCCCACTGAGCACACACCACCCGCCCCCCGTCACAGGCAGCTGTCACCATATATGAGTAGAGGGCCCACTACTCTCATCCCATGTTTCAAGGAGAGTCAGCACTTGAATATTTTTATTTGTATCTCCCAGTTTCAAACAATTTTCCAAAATAACGTGTAGGGCAAACAAACATGTCTGAGGGCCACCATTTTGTCATTCCCAGTATAAGAGATGGAGTGACTTTCTAGGGCATATGGCTTGGGGGGGGGGGGGCAGGTGATGCCACAGTGGATGTCTGGACAGTTACCCAAGGGAGCAAGTGATGAGAGCAAAGGCAGTGACAGCTCTAGCTGACACCAAAGACAAAGACACGATTCACCTAGTTACCTACAGAAATGAACACACAAGCAGACCTGCCCAGGGAAAAAAGAAACTGACCACGACAGAATCCCACTTATTATTTACTTCATAAGAAGGCAGAAACCTCATTTAAAAATGTGATATCCTGTTTTATTTGCTTTCCACTTTTCCATTTTAAACTCCCACAAGTTCTTGTACTGTCATATTTGCCAGCATTATCTGATGTGTGATTCAGGTTAATTACTGTTGTCAGGAAACGACATTTTGGACATGATTTCTATTTCAGTGAGAGAAATCTCACCAGCCCCCACCAGGGCTACAGATGTCATTCCACAAATTAATTCCTAAAGCAGACAACTAAATAACCCAACTGTCAAAAGAGGAGTGAAATTAAGTCAACGTGAGACTCCACTTAAGAATTAGTAAAATTCGCCCTCGTTCACTGTAGCTTGAGGCTTCTGTCGCCAGAAATGCTTCAAGTCTAATTTTTCAAATCGTGGCCATGTTATTACTACTTCCAGTCCGTGCCAGCTTGCCACTCTCACATCACCTTCAAAATAATGCAGGCGTTATTTTGCCTCTCTGAAGCTATATAGGAATGGCAAGACCACCCAGCCCGACAGTTCAGGGATGCTATCTCCCCGACAGAGGAAAACAAACCAGTGATCTGCAGGAGCCTTACTCTAGCCATAAATTTACTGCTCACTCACCATTTTTATACATCAATCGCACTGTGACAACATTTGGTTAATCCCAATGTGACCTGATCACTCCCAAAGGAATAGAGAAGTGTCTTGAGGCTTCATTCCCAAACACCCTCAGGTTTTTTAGCCAGAGCCCCCAAGCTGTATATAGAAATAAATGCCTATTCCAGAAGTTATATCCATAGCAGGCACTGAGCAAAATCCTAACCAAGGCTACTTAGGGGAAGACCTTAACTAACCTCATGTATATACCCTAACGGCAAGACCCGCTCAGCGCTAATGAGCCAAATCTTCAGGGTACAGTTATCAGGGTCTCTGCTTTGCAGTTTTTCTTTGTTTCTGTTTGCCTCAGAGAGTCAAGCACTGCTTAAGTAATATATGATCCAGACTTGCCCCAGATATAACATCCTCCTTTCCCCACAGGAAGGGAACCAGGACCCAGTTTTTAAAAGACCTCAATGCTAATGAATGTTAACCACCTTTGAAAAAGAATGTTAACTGGGGCACCTGGGTAGCTCAGTCAGTTAAGCATCTACCTTCGGTTCAGGTCATGATCCCAGGGTCCTGGGATTGAGCCCCATGTCAGCCTCCCTGCTCAGCAGGGAGTCTGCTGTTTCTCCCTTTCCTTCTGCCCCTCTCCCCTCCTGTTCTCTCTCAAATAAATAAAGGAAATCTTTAAAAAAAAAAAAGAATGGAAGAAAAAGAATGTTAACCACCAGACCAAGCACAGCAAAGAGCAGAGACCACAGTACATCTTCTAACTGAGATCCCCATAGGGAGTCAGTTAGTCAGAAAAGGATTCTCTTAGATATATTTCACTGAGTAGAAGGAAGACCCTGCCCTCCTGTACTCGAGCATTCTATTTCCTGCCCAGCACCTCTAGGTCTCTCTGTCCCTGAATTTGCAGTTTACACGTTCGGAAGCATATGTCCAGGCGTCTAGGACTGCCAACCATGTCCATGTCTACCACCAAGGTTAAGCCCCCATGGGTGACAACACTCTACAGGCATTCTCATAATTTGGCCCTTGAATCAAGCCCTTGTTGAAGAGGGGACTTCCTAGAACTATTTGGTTCACATCACTCTACATGATAAATCCCATCCCCATCCAATTCCTCAATATTTGTCTATACTTATACTTGGGGGTCATAGTTCTAAATCATATACATGTTACATATCACTGGAATCTCTTCTAATTACTTTGGCCTCCCTGGAAGAGCCATAAAGATGTTTGCTCTTGGTATCTTCCAACCTCTTGTTTTCATCATTTTCCTTCCATTATACATTATAACTCTATATGTATCACATGATTGTGGAGACTGGAAAGTCTGAAAGTCACAGGGCAGGCCAGCGGGCTGGAAACTCAGGCAGGGATTGTGAGGCAGAATTTCTTCTTCTCTGAGAAACCTCAGTTTTTGCTCTTAAGGCCTTCAACTGATTGCATGAGGCCCACCCATGTTATGGAGAGCAATGTGCTTTACTGAAAGTCAACTGATGGTAGATGTCAACCTCATTTACAAAAAGCTTCACAGCAACACCTAGATTAGTGTTTTATTAAATAATTGAGTACTACAGCCTAGCCAAGCTGACACATAAACCATCACACCTTCTAATGTGTTTTGAGTTCTGGTTCCTGCATAAAACACCTAACCTTCTTCTGGAAACACGACTGATGCAAAGCATCTTCCCATTTCCTGGTGAGGCCATTTTCCTTGCTTGTGAGTCGGGGGTATAGGGAATGAAAAATTAAAAGCTCTAAATTTTGTGTCTTTTGAAAAGCTCTCGTCTCCTGAGAAACACTGAGAAATGACAGATTTGGATGAGGATTTGGCACCTGGTTAAACCTCCATCACCCACAGTATATCTCCCTCTAAGAGCAAAATTTAACCTTATTGGTGTTTCAGCAACAAGCACTGCAACAGGGGGTGATCTGAGTCTTTTTCCATTTTATGTCAAAAGTATAGCCAAGGGTCTCCCTTGGCCAGAGTGCTCACTCTTACCACTGCAGATAACTTGATATCATGCTCTGGTGGCAAGCACAGCACTCAGGACTAATTGAGCTTCCACACAACTGGGCAAGAGGAGGCAAAATTTAAAAAAAACAAACAAAAGTACATCTCGGAAAAAGAAGAGTATTACTTTCCCCAAATTACCAATTCTCCTCCTTCTACGTACAACATACAAATTAAGCCTTTGAATTATTCATGTTAGATCAATCAAAACTCTTTGTGTCAAAGATGTGCTGATTCAGGCCTTCTCCAAACTGATCGGTCTGCCCCCAGGGGACCCCCTTTTCCTTCATTACTCCCCCATCAAGGTACATTAAATAGGCTTCCAAGATAACTGGGTGATTCGAGTTCATACTTCTAAAACTTACAAATATCCTTTTTGAATAGTGCTATGAAAGTACTTTGGAAGAGTAATTAAAGACTAAAAAAAAAAAAAATGCTGGAAGCCAAAAGAAAAAAAAAATCAGTGAAAGTGTTCTAATTTGAGTATCTTATCCCTTAAAAGAAGGAAGTGTTCTGTTTTCCCACAGTTCAGCTTTTTGACTCTGGGCTGCCTAGAAATTCAAGTGTCCCCTCCTTAACTAGATTAAAAGCTCTTGAGAGGGGGTGCCTGGGTGGCTCAGTCGTTAAGCGTCTGCCTTCGGCTCAGGTCATGGTCCCAGGGTCCTGGGATCGAGCCCCACATCGGGCTCCCTGCTCGGCAGGAAGCCTGCCTCTCCCTCTCCCACTCCCCCTGCTTGTGTTCCCTCTCTCGCTGTGTCTCTCTCTGTCAAATAAATAAACAAAAATATTTAAAAAATTAAAAAAAAAAAAAAGCTCTTGAGAACACAGAAAATGGCTCCTACTTCTTTACTAGCACAATACTGGGCACTCAGGGTGACCAAAGGACACGGGTCTGACCAAATACAAGAGCCAGAATTCATCCCTGAAACCAAGAAACAGACAGTGTTCCTTTTTCCCTTTTAATTCCAGTGCCTAATCTAGAATCCTAAAGAGTGCTCACTTGGTAGGCTGCTCTCGGGCATTTGTAGACTCTATCATGTTTCCACTGCTTCAAAGGACATACTTTTGTTTTATTCAGGGCATCAATACAGTAAAATAGCCTAGCAACAAACATGGACTTGCTTCATTCACATCCTTGAAAGAACCACATGGGAATAACGAAGGAACCTCGTACAGCCCTAAGGTCTGGCCACCCCTGCAACAAGAGCATAATAAACACTCATTACACTGCATTTGAGATGTGCCCAGCAGTCTTTTCTGAGTTCAAAGTGCTTAATCTCATTAGCTATCAGATACCATGTCTAATCCGATGTTCAGACTCGTGTCTGCTGTGTAATTGGGTTCAATGTGTACATTTAACAGTAAAGCAGGTATGGGCCCCATAGAGAAGTTAGACGTCCTTGAAGAATCCATTAACTAACTCAGGGATAGAGGGAGAGGAACCAAACCTCACACCTTTCTAATTATAGGGCTGGAAAACACACCAGATCTAAACCTAACCAAACTTCTGGACATAATGGTGTCACAGTTCAACACCTGCCCTAATGTTCTAAGGAATCCTACACAACAAGCATTTGACTCAACCGTTCATTCATTCGATAAGCATTTATTAAATGACCATCTACTTATACTAGTAGTGCTGGATGCTTGTTGGGATGACTGACGCTGATGATAAACCCCGTTCCTACCCTCATGGAGCCTAGTATCCAGATGACTCTGATAAAAGATGGCAGACCAACCCATTCCAGTTAAAAAAGATAATTGACATCTTATTTTTATTTCCTGGAACCCCAAATTAGCATCAGTATTTCTTTAGCCTTTCATTCTAGAAACCTACTTCTCACTTTACCTCACTCAGTCCGGCCCCTTCTCCCCGAGTCCATCCCATACATTCCATTCCACTCCGTGCAGTCCCATCTGTTCTGGGACCTTCCCAGCCTGCACACTGTTGAAGAGGGAGGCAAAGGGAAACCTGCAACCACTGAACACCCTAACACATGCCAGCCCGCCCCTGTGCTAAGTCAAAGCTGAAGCAACTCATTAACCCTCCCAACAATTCTCAGAGGTAGGCATTCGAGTTCTCCCTACGGACGAGGACAGAGAAGCTCAGAGAGAAGTAAACAGGAGAGAGGAATGGATCGGTGGCAGAACTTGGCTTCAAAACTGGAACTGACCCAGAGGCCTGAGCTCATCGAGGATCCTGATCAAGCAGCCTGCATAGAAGAAGCTGTGGGTCAAATACTACAGTCCCCTACATGTTTAGTCATTTACTGGCTATGTGGGCTCATGCGTGGCACCTAACAGCTTTGAGTCCAAGCCTCAATGTCATCTTCTGCACACACTGAGACAGGAACTGCTATAAGGATTTGCCACTCCCAGCACGTGCTGAGCCCTAGCGATCATGACAATGCTGACGATTGCCTCTCTAAGGTCAGAAGAAAGAAGCTAATCATTTGGACTTATACTAAGACTCTTCCTATAGACAGCTGCAAATGCCCACTCACAGCAGCAACCTTGAGACAGACAGCCTATGCCCCAGGACAGCCCTGGCTTGCAACGATTCAGATTATTTTTACTTTGCAAGTCAGAAATTTTTTTTAAAGAGATGTTTCCTCCATAAATGCATTTGCTGCTGGTTTGCTCAAACACGTCTTTGGAAAAAAATGTTAAAGCTTAAGATGAAGAAACCAGGAGACACAGGACAGGCAAGCTGATCACCACAGTATTCTGTGTTTCCCATAAGCAGATGCTGGTTTATAGGTATCCCATGACCCTTGAGAAAAGTAGGCGTTATCCTCCTGCAATCCAATGACCTAAGCATTTGACTACTAGAGGAACTGATTTGAGAAGTAAAGGACCCAAATCCAGTTTAAAAGATAGATTAGTTCTACAATAGTTCAATGTAATTATTATTTATTTAGACATCCCACAGGTGCCATGACTGCGTAATTCTATGTTCTGCTGTGGGCTCAGGAAATGACTGGGGTTTAATGCAGTTTAAACAAGCCCTAACAATTTCCCACGTGGCCTGCCCACCCCCATCTGTCCTTTCTCTAGGCATCTTAAACTGTTTCTCAGGCATGACCGCACAACACACTCCCAGGAGGAAGGCAGGGGGAGAGCTCTGTGCATCCGTTTACAAATAAGGCAGGTGAAGCCCATAGAGAACTGGTGACTTCTCTGAAGACTGCACAACTGTTCAGAATTGAACGGCATGGTGGCACTGGAACCCACATGCTGAACTGGCACCAAGGGGCCGTGGCTGGAGGAGGCGGGCTCTGGGCAGCAGGGGGTGCTGGGCAGGAGAGGGCAGGAAGGCCCGCACTAACCCACGCACGTGAATGTTGTCTCGGGATTACTGCACTGTCCTGCCCACCTGTTAGTTCTCCGAGATCCCGGAAATCTCATTCGGACATTTCCGAAGGTGGGAAGATGGCCGCCACTGTGCCCTCTCCTCAGTACCCACAGTGTACCTCCCACTCCCAGGGTTAGTATGAGGATTTCCTTCGCCCCCCCTTTTATATTCACGCAACTACTCTATATTCATCCAAGTTTCTGGCTTTTCTATTAGCAACTCTGTAATGGTTCCCAAGTACTGGAATTAAAGGTAGCTATCAGTCTTGAGCTGAACAAAAGCAACACTCCACTGAATTACCAGCAGTCACATCTATAATAAGTTTCAGCATTTTTTAAAAAATATCATACCTCTGATTGGCATATATCTGTGGATTCTTTTAAAACATAATTATTCTTTTGGCCTCGGCCGACGATGCCTCAAGTTTACAGGCAACACCTGCTAGCTGCAATTTCGTAACGGACTGCTTGCCCCTCCTTCTACATCCTCGCTGACACCAGCCCCTCCCCAACTCACTCAGAGCATGGCAGCGAGAGACCACACCCACCTTTGCCCAAACATCAGTGTTGACTTGGTCTCAGCCTCATTGAAGACAGAGGGAGAACAGCAAATAACGATGGTGGTTCTACAGTTCCCACCCAGAGAGTCCTGAAGAATCCGAGTCATCTTGCTGTCCCGGTATGGCACGTGTGTTTTCTATTTAGGAAAAAAAAAAAAAGTATTGGCTATTACAGCCATTGTCCATTCACAGAGAAAACACAAGCAAGTTAGCAATGGGCACACTGGGCTTAGAAACATGTGTAAAATAAGAATTTGTTGCCCAGTCTTTGGATTTGGCCAACGTTTAGAGTGTCCAGTCTGGGACCTGGGTCATAGGAAATTAGCATCACCATTCATACATTTTAATGGACTAGATCTCCCAGCAAGTAGGATGTCTACAGCCAGGATTCCCTCTGCTCCTTTCCAAAGAAAAACAAACTAATCTCTGGGGTATGTGGCGAAGAGAGGACACAGACCCAAAAAGTGACTTCTCATAATATCATTTAATAGAGGGGATAGGATCACTTACTGTCCCTTCTGCCAAGGCAGAGATCACATTTCCAAGAGCAGACAAAGATTTATTGATATTTTTAGCTTCATCGAGAACAGCTCCCTCGGCACCGGTCTTGCTGACCTACCAGAGAGAAGAGAAAGCAGTGAGCTGCACAGGACAGCAAAAGCACAGAGTAGAAAATTCCAATTCACAGGAGGGCACAGGGCTGGGGATTGAGGGAGGCGGATGTGAATCCTCCTGGAACACAGAAAAAATAAAAGTAAGTAAAAATCACATTGACCAAACCTTCCCTTGTGCCTGAGGCTGGGGATTTGTTCTGTCTTGTCATTTTCCTCTCAATTAGGTTTTAGGGGAATGGCTGAAATGCCTCCAGGGGTGGAGCTGCAGATGCTTCCCTGGGGGACATCCATCTAGGGAAACCAGGCTCCAAGAGTGCTGTCACTACCGAAAGGCTGGGCCCTGCCAGCCTGAGCCACGGCCTCCTCGCCGCAGGGAGCCCAGGGAGAAGCGTGACGCGAAAACACTGTCCTGGCCACGATGAATGGACATATCGGGGAAGTGTACATTATGAGCTCCACCTTCAGGCAAAGGACAAGAGGTGGTGGTTGGGGGGGGGGGGGGGGTTGTCCAGACTCTCTGCTCCCTGCCTTACTGACTCCGCTAGCAAGGAAAAAGGGAACGACTGTCCAAAAGGAAAGATACCTGGGGGCATCACAAAGTCAAGAAAGTGTATATTACATTGTGGACTTGTCTCTTCTCTCTGCGGCCAGGGGAACCACGTACGGTTCCTCCTCTGCTGTGTTATTCCTGGCAATTTCCTATTGACAGTGTCTGCTCTAGGTAGAGAGCGGTTTACAGATGCCAGGGAGAAAGGGAAGCCAACATGCTCCCCGGCCCGGCTGGCTGGGCAAATGATGCGGGAGGAGCAGCTCCTCTCTGAAGACAGGACGGCAGGGAACTGATCGCAAACTGCGCCAAGACTGACGGTCATGAGGGATAAAGGAGAGACTCCGAGGGATAAAAACGAATGCACATGCAGGCGGCATGATAGATACGCAGCTCTCTGAGAATTGTGTGTGTGTAGGCACCACTGCGGACAGAGAAATCATACAGCTGACGGGTCACCAGTAACAGCCTATTCACACGGTGTGGTTTAAGGGGCTTTCCTATCTGAGCATCTGGACTCCACGAAATATGCAAGACAGGTACAATTGCCTTCCATTTCCACAGACAAGGAAACTGAGCTCCAGAGATGTCAAACTGCCAGTCCAAGGCAAGAGCACCATTTAGGGGAGTTGGGGATTAAAGCCCAGAGTTCGTTCTAATAGATCACACTGACTGACACATTCATGTGGGCACATCTAGGGCAAAGGAAGACACATGGGAGTGAAAGAAACAAGGTACAGGACCACAACTTTAAAATGCCCCACAAATATCATAAGCAATAACCACCGACACTGTGCAGAGGACAGGCCTCCACACTCAACTGGCAGCATGGAGCTGTTTCCAGCTGTAGGCCCCAAATACTCCCTCCGTGCTCGGAAGGGAAAGAGAGCAAACTCGGGAAGAACAAAGGGGCCACTGGGCTCTTTCTCCAGACCCACACAGCTGTTGCAGCAGCAAAGTGCAGCCTGGTTGCCAACGTTCAGTCTAGAACTAAACGATGCTGCTCCGTCTTCCTATTCTGGTGCATGTCTGTTTCATTAAAGTTACAAGCTTGTACCAGTAAAATTTTAGATTCCCAACCAGATAATTTTCCAGGAACAGCCACATGACTCTGCTCATGGCTTTACAGATGTGTACAGGAGAACATTTCAAGTAGCCACTACTTACATGGATGTTAGCAGCCATAACGTGGCGTATAGCAACTCAGCGGTGGGGTGCAGTAAGTGGGGATCAATTGCACAGCTCAGGAGACTGGCTGAGCCTCAGGGCTGGCCCCTGGGGACAGTCAGCACTGTCAGCGATGACAGAGGCCACATGGTATTGTGCACAGGGACTTGCTCTGTGAGGTCGCCCGAGGGAAGCAGTGCCCCCAGGCAGGGTGTGGCAGCAGGAAGCTCTGGCAGCGTGCTATGGAGGTGAGGCTAGGAGGGGGCAGGTAGAAGGTTATGGGGAGCCTGTTTGGTCTAGAGTATGACCTCAGCCAGTGCCTAGGAGAGCATGGGACAGATGCCAAAAGAGAGCCCTGACAAAACCAGAGAGAAGGAACAGGGCTTTGGGCCAAACCCCTGGCTACCCGCCTGGTGTGTGGCCTGAAGGAAGTGGGAGGCTGCCCACGTGAGGCCCTGTCAGACCACACCCACTGCGGAGAGAAGCAGGGAATGCAGGGACAGCCCCAGGTTCCAGATCTTCTATCAGCAAACAAACGTGCCGGGGCAGGACTGCCACGGCCCAGTGGCAAAGTCCGTTTCTGGCCTATTTGAATCTGGTGCAACATGGGGATCTTCCCTTTCCACAGAAGGTCATGTCCCTCCCCCATGTGTACAACTACCTCTGCCAGGCTAAGCGCATACCAGCACTTGCCTAATGTCATCACTGGAGCCCATTAAGCATAAATCCGAGTTGGCATTCAAAGCACCTCCTGTGATGTGAATAGGGAACTTCAGGACCAGAAAAGAGAGCAGGGAAACGAAGGTGAAATTTAACAGCATTTTGGCACAATACCAGAAACTTTAAAAGCTCTTTAAAACCAGGGAATAGAAAGGGTATAAAAATTATACCATTGCACACTGGAGCAAATAACAGGGAAAATTATAGATAGTACAAATAAGGAACCAATTACCTTTTCGCTCCCAGCCAAATCAACTAGATAAAGCTTCCCACTGAGCTTTTTTTCGGTCTCTACATTCTCTTGCTTAATATTAATCAGGAAGATACTGTGACTTCTAGAGCTGTGTTCATTCATGTCTGAAAAGGAAAATAGTTTACTGCTCTGCAAAGAATAAGAAGTTTAGGTAGCAAGCCTCTCATCTAAAAAGCACAACAAATCATGCTTAATAGCTTCATTTTTTAAAGTCCAGCCAATTTTAAAAAGTATCTAAGACCACAGTTTCTTTTAAAAAGACAATGAGAGATTTAAAGTAGCTTCACATGGCAAAGAAATTAAGAATCTTAGTGGATGGTTCAAGAGAACAGATTCTCTAGCTTTGCCTGAAGTCCCCATGGACCCTCGGCCTCACAGTGCTCACAGCTGGAGTGCCTGGGTGGCTCAGTAGGTTAACCGTCGGCCTTCGGCTCGGGTCATGATCTCAGGATCCTGGGATCCAGCCCCGTGTCAGGCCCCCTGCTCCAAGGGGAGTCTGCTTCTCCTTCTCCCTCTGCCACCCTCTTGCTTGTGCTCTCTCACTCGTGCTCTCTCCCTCTAATATATACAATCTTTAAAAAAAAAGAACAAAGAGCTCACAGCTTCCTCCCCCCTCACCTTTAGTCCCTCAGCCTTGGTCATCATGGTTAGGACCCAGTGTATTCCGTCTTCATCATGTGTGTAAGCCTTGCCTTATCCATAATATCACAAGCTTTCTTAAGGAAGGATTATGACCTTAAGATTTAAGACATCTTTTTTTCCTTAAATAGAGTTCTATAATCCATACTAGGCATGTTGAAGGTCTCAAAGATTAAATATGCTTCATTAGTACCGAGTACTAGAAATAGAAATCTTTTTGGGGCACCTGAGTGGCTCAGTCATTAAGCGTCTGCCTTCGGCTCAGGTCATGATCCCAGGGTCCTGGGATCAAGCCCCACATCGGGCTCCCTACTCAGCAGGAAGCCTGCTTCTCCCTCTCCCACTCCCCCTGCTTGTGTTCCTGCTCTCGTTATCTCTTTCTCTGTCAAATAAATAAATAAAATCTTTAAAAAAAAAATAGAAGTAGAAATCTTTTGGACCCTGGTCTCTGTTAACTAGGCAAGCAGAGATCCTAGTGACAGTCTTCTTCAACCCCCACTAGCAATCATTTCTTAAAACCAATTTTCTAGGCACCCTTGTCCAAGATGGCTGAAGACTAATGCTAGACCTCAAGATCATGAGTTGGGGTGCAGGACTTAAAGAGGAATATCAGTCTCTTATCTGGTATGTGGAAAACAATAAGAATGCAGACAATGATTGATTCCAACTGGAGTCCAACAAGGAAGGGACTCAGTGTTTTGGAAAAACTCCTCAACTATGAGTCTGACATGAAGTTTGACATTCCTATCACATATCCTACTATGGCTCCAGAAATTACAGCCCCTGAACTCAATGGAAAAACAGCAAAGATGTATAAGGGGTGACAAAATATGCCTGACCGAGCACTTTAAGCCTTTGTGGGCCAGGAATGTGCCCAAGTTTGGACTAGCTCATCTCATGGCTCTGGGGCTGGTTCCATGGCTGGTAATGGAAATCCCAATCTTATTCAGAAAGGTGTGTGATCCGGTGTAAAGAGAAATGCAACCAATGAAGGATGAAGCCACTGAGGCAAGACAGAAGGACCTTTGATAGGCTATGTTCCTGTTTTCTGTGCATCACTCTTACTCATCCAACTGCTTCCCCTCATACCTCTTCACCCATAACTGTTACTAAGTAGCTGCTTCAGGCATTGCTGAAAAAATAAACAACAGTATTGCTACTGAATTTCTAAGACTACAGAAGGAGGGGAAAGACTGGGGCTTTGGAAAACCAAAAGGCAATTTATATCTCCTCCCTTCCCCAGGTGGAGCAACGAGAATTCCAGGAAGGATAGGAGGTGCTGAAAGTAGGTACATAATCTTTCTGGTTTCTGGAGATAACTTGTGAATAAAAGCTGCTTCCTCTGGTGGCCCCCCCAAAAATCTTTCCAGAATATATGGGGGAAAAAGTTAAAGATTCCACAAAAATTATGTTGGAATTAATAAATGAATTCAGCAAAGTTGCAGGATAAAAAAGCAACGTAAAAATCAGTTGCATTTCTATATACTAACAATAAACAATCTGAAACGAAAATAATTCCATTTAAAATATCGACAAAAAGAGATACACCTGGGTGGCTCAGTCTGTTAAACATCCGACTCTTGATTTTGGCTCAGGCCATGATCTCAGGGTCATAAGATCGAGCCTGGCTTCGGTCTCCATACTGGGCATGGAGCCTGCTTGGGATTCTCTCTCTGCCCCCACCCCGACTCATGCACTCTTTCCCTCTCTCTCTCTAAAATAAATAAAATAAAATAAAATAAAATAAAATAAAATAAAATATCAACAAAAAGGATAAGATACTTAGGAATAGACTTAACCAAGGAAGTAAAAGACATGTACATTAAAAACTACAAAATGAGGGGTGCCTAGCTGGCTCAGTCAGTAGAATATGTGACTCTTGATCTCAGGGTTATAAGTTCAAGCCCCATGTTGCGTGTAGAGATTACTTTAAAAAAAAAATCTTCTGAAAATTTTTAAAAGAATAAAAACTACAAAATGTAAGAAGACACCTATAAATTGAAAGACGTTCCGTGTCTATAGGTCAGAAGACTTCACATCGTGAAAATGGCAATACTACCAAAAGTGATCTAGAGATTTAATGCAATCAGTATCAAGATCCTAGTCATGTTTTTTTGCAGAAATAGAAAAGTCCATCCTAAAATTCATATGGAATCTCAAGGAACCCCAAATAGCCAAAACAATCTTGAAAAAGAACAACATTGGAGGTCTCACACTTACTGATTTCAAAACTTACTACAAAGCCACAATAATGAGACAGTGTGGCATTGGCATAATGGCAAACATAGAGAAGGACAAATGAGAGCCCAGAAATAAACCCTCACATAAAATGGTAAAATAATTTTCAACAAGAGTGTCAAGACCATTTGATGGGAAAACAACAGTCTCTTTACCAAATTGAAAACTGTATATCCACATGCAAAAACAATGAAGTTGGACTCTTACCTAGGCCATATACTAATTCAAAAACAATCAAAAACCTAAATGTAAAAGCTAAAACAATAAAACCTAGAAGAAAACATAGGGGAAAAACGTCATAACATTGGATTTGGCAAAGATTTCTTGGAAATAATACCAAAACCACAAGCAACAACAGCAAAAAACAGATATATTGGACTTTATCAAAATTAAAAACTTTCATGCATGAAAGGACAGCATCAACAGAATGAAAAGGCAACCCACAGAATGAGAGAAAATATTCACAAATCGTATATCTGATAAGGAATTGAGATCCAGAATATACAAAGAACTCCTATAAATCAACAAGAAAAAAAAAAACCCAATTATAAAATGAGCAAAGAACCTGAACAGACATTTCTTCAGACAACCTACAAATGGCCAATAAGCACAGGAAAAAATGCCAAACATCACTAGTCATTAGTGAAATGCAAATCGAAACCATAATGACATAACACTTCACACCCAAGAGTATGGCTGTTAAAAACAAAAATAGAAACTAAGAAGCATTGGCAAGGATGTGGAGAAATCGAAACTCTCGCACACTCTTGTTGGTGGGAATGTAAAATGGTGTGCGACAACAATGGAAAACAATGTGGCAGTTCCTAAAAAAATTAAAAGTAGAGGGGCGCCTGGGTGGCTCAGTTGGTTAAGCGACTGCCTTCGGCTCAGGTCATGATCCCGGAGTCCCGGGATCGAGTCCCGCATCGGGCTCCCTGCTCGGCAGGGAGCCTGCTTCTGCCTCTGACCCTCCCCCCTCTCATGTGCTCTCTCTCTCTCGTTCTCTCTGTCTCAAATAAATTAAAAAAAAAAAAAATCTTTAAAAGTAGAGTTGACATATGATCCAGCAATTCCACTTCTGTATATATACCCAAAAGAAGGGAAAACAGAAACTTCAACAGATATGTATACATCCATGTTCACAGCAGCATTAGTCACAATAGCCAGAAGGCGGGAGCAACACAAGTATCCACATGTCTATCTGTGAATGAATGAACAAACAATGTAATATATACCTACAACAGAATACTACTCAGCATTTTTAAAAAGAAAGGAAATTCTGACATACGCTACAACATGAAGACACTATGCTGTGTGAAACAAGCCAGTCACAAGAGGACTTGTATCCCTCCACTTCTATGAGGTACATAGAGCTGTCCAATTCACTGGAACACAAAGTAGTATAGTGGTTACCAGGGAAGTATGGGGAGGTATTGTTCAATGGGCTGGGGTTTAACTTTGGGGTGATTAAATTCTGGAAATAGACAGTGGTGATGGTTGCACAACATTATGAATGGACTTAATGCCACTGAATTGTACCCTTAAAAATGGTTAAAATGCTAAGTTCTATGTTATGCGTAATTTTAAAAACCACCTTACCAGAATGATAAGAAAAATAATTAATGTTCTGCACCTACAGTTCTGAACCAAGGGGCCAAGATGGATTGTCAAGTATGCCATGAATAATTCACGACTAACAATAGCTTAAAAAATCAAATAAATAACGTCTTTATAAATGAGAGATGCTATTACTATAAGAATATCAGTCTTACATTCTTTCAAGTATATGTAAAAGCAGAAGAGAAAGACGTGGAATTTAACCTACGCTGTATACATGTCTAGGCTCACCTATGAAATCTGCCGCACGTGTGAATATCCTGATAGGATGTCAGGGTAGAGAAAAGGTAGAGAATTACGGTACTGGGTGACAGAATCACAGAGCCCTGGGTGGAAGAGACTTAGAGAGGCTAGACCAGTCAACCAACCGATGTTTCCATCTCTTGTATACCTTACAGGGAACCCTGCCCCTCCAGGTAGCAGGCTTTCCTTGGGGCAGCTATCAGGAGCAGAGAGTTCTTGTGGTCGGTCAAAACCTGCCTCCTGGTAGCTTCAGCAATCCTAGGTGGCCTACCCATGTGGTTCATATAAAGCAAACCGACTTTCTTAATGTCAGCACCTTGAACATGTTAAGAAATATATTACACTAGGGGCGCCTGGGTGGCTAAGCGACTGCCTTCAGCTCAGGTCATGATCCTGGAGTCCCAGTATCGAGTCCCGCATCGGGCTCCCTGCTCAGCAGGGAGTCTGCTTCTCCCTCTGACCCTCCTCCCTCTCATGCTCTCTGTCTCTCATTCTCTCTGTCTCAAATAAATAAATAAAATTAAAAATATATATATATATTACACTGTCCCTATGTTCTCCTCAGAGTTTTTCTTTCTTCCAACCTAGAAATCCCTAGTTCTCTCAACTCCTCCTCCTACAAACTCCCTCTGATTTGTCCATACCCCTCAGAATGAGACAGCCAGCCCAAAGATGGGGGGCCAAAACCTCTGCTGCTCTAACATAGGACCTGCTTCCCGGAGACGTGTGCGCACGCCGAGGAAGGAACTACAGGTAAACAAGCTGGCCTGAATGTGTTTGTTATTAACATGGCATAGGAAGGTTTTCAATAAAGCTCCCAGCCCCACTTCCTGAGCTCCTCCTTGCTTTTCTTTTCCTTTTCTAAACAGGGTAGAAATCTACCAGGGTTTCTTTCCACACATATGACTGGCATATAAAATTTGTTGGCTTGCGTTTTTTTTAACCTGAACAATAATGTGGTTGAAATATATTTAGAAGCTGACTTTTAACCCCCTTTCCTTGGTTGATTGGTTTTCCCCAGTGTCCAGACGTAGGGGGCTACCAGGGCCCAGCGAGCCTCACCCAGTGTTCCCGAGAGTTCCCTGAATGGCAGAAGGCATGCTTCCAACGACCTGCTGAGACACTCTCGTCCTGCACACTCCTGTGTGCTTGCTTACGAGCCACTGCTTCATAACTGCCTTCCCCGGCATTATTTCCTTGGGACCTCATTACCCACCCCTCCCGGTGAGTGGGCAGACATTCGTATCCCAAGTGACAGGGGAGGAAACACCACCCCATGCTTACTTGTGACAGCCACGTGTCGGTTTGCTTTGCCCTCATCTATCACATCCATGACCTCCTCGGGGCTTGACACAAACCGCTCGGTACACCCCTGGAAAAGAGTCAGATCAGGTTAACCACTAGGAACTGGAAAGCTGGGGCGCCTGGGTGGCTCAGTCATTAAGCGTCTGCCTTCGGCTCAGGTCATAATCTCAGGGTCCTGGGATCAAGCCCCGCATGGGCTCCCTGCTCCGTGGGAAACCTACTTCTCCCTCTCCCACTCCCCTGCTTGTGTTCCCTCTCTCACTGTGTCTCTCTCTGTCAAATAAATAAATAAAAACGTAAACAAACAAACAAACAAACTGGAAAGCAACTCTATTTGAAGACAGCTAAACATTCTCCCATTTCTCCAAAGGCTGCCATGTTGGTCCAACAGCTCTTCCTCCTGGCTTATGGCTTGAGTTCTACATCAAAGAGAAGTCTGAGCAAACCCCAGGAAACCTAGAAGTAAACCATAAAAGAAATGCCAGCTTTTTCCTAGATTTTTAAGTACCTGTGCATACTCAACAGCAGTAGAAACAGAAAATAAGGAACACCAGTGACAGAAAAAGAAATGGATGAAATTTTGCTTTGCCTTTCATGCTAGCCACCAACTTTAATTAGACACTTTGAAGTTCTAGGCATAATGCTATGATAGGCTTGCTCTCACTGCAAAGTATACACAATTATCTCCACTAGCAAAGCCTCTCTACATGTGACTAATAAATACTTGTTCACTTCTCCACTTCTTACTTCATGTGATTAGGCATCTGTGATACATTCCCACAGGGATACGACTGAAGAAATCAAATGTCTGTTTTTTAACCAGACAGATATTAAATATAAGGAACATGATGAAACACCTACATACACTCTATAGGAAATATTCTGGGCATATTTGGTAACCATGATGATGACAGTGACAGGAGAGAAGTCAATTGCAACATCAAGTCTTCCTCATACCTTTACATATGGGACTCTGTTTTTATCTTCATGAACAGCCAAGTTCGTCTTGGATACTGCAAATAATGACGACATGCAGAGGAGAAAAGAAAAGTTAAAGATTCTGTATTGGAGGAAAAAGAGAAATTGTTACCGAAGATAGGCAAATCTAATCTCTTTGCCATATGCAAGTTTAAGCCTTGGCTAAGAATAAGCAGATAGTGTAAAGGCAATAAAACATCTCTATAAACTTTCATTAATTCCTGAAGCAGAAGAGCTGTGAATCACTTCAACCTCCCTAGACCTTAGTTAAAGAACAAATAGAGGAAAAGCATTCAGGTTACTCACCATCGAGTAAGTCCCTGATTTTGTCCAAGTAGATCTCAAAATAGGAAACCTAGTTAAAAACAAATTGAGTTTGAAACAGAAATGCCATGCTGTATTTGAAAAAATATCATTACTAGAACTCATAAAAGCCTTTGTCATGCACAGCTAAGAAGAGCAAGAAGAGGGGGCAGAAAGCTGGATTCGGAGGCCTGCAGCACAGAGCCCCAGCCAACTCTCCTGCACTCTCCGGCTTCCTGCCACGTCAGCCTGCTCTGCGGACCCCTGCCTGGGCTGAGCCACCCCCCACGCCGTACAGCCCCTGTGGTCTTGATTCAGGTGCTCCTTACATTGTGCACTAGACGGCCACTTACGAGTGGACTCTACCCTTCACCCTCGATGAGCACCAAGCAAACTTCTAGGTAGGACCAAGGCTGGAACAGAAAACGGTCTTGGCGAGTAATTGTCGACATCAGTTGGCATCTCCTCATGCATGATGTTGACCCCCCTCACCAGACCAGGTCCAAACATTCACATGAAGGAAGTGGGGATGGGGATAAGGGCAGTTTGCTTGGAGCTACAAGAGCTCCAGGGTAACGGGGAGAGAGCTGCTGATGGGGGCCAGCTTTGGGGAGGCCAGGAAAGGTTGGAACAAAATGGGATTTAATGAGAGACAGACTAGACTGTGAGGGGGAAAGGAAGCCTTCTAATCAATTATCCTCAGAGCCCAGCCCCAGCCCCTCCTGCATCAGCATCACTCAGACCTTTGTAGAAACTGCAGAGTCGTGAGCCCAGCTGCAGACCTCCTGAGTCAGAATCTCCAAGAACTAGGAACTGGCTTCTAAACTCCCTAGGAACACCTGAGAACAACTTTAACTAGACATGTGACCATGGAGGTTTAATTCACATGTAACCAAAACTATAGGCCTCGGTTTTCCCATCTGTCAAATGAAACTATTGGACTTAATGACGTCAAAAATTTCTCTAGGATTCTGCACTCTGTCTACACCTGCCTTCCACCTCCCAGATCAACTTTCTTTCTCTCATGTTCATGGGTTTTTTGTTGTTTTTTTTTTTGAAACCTAAACAAGGAATCAACAAACAAGTTGTTAAGAAAGAAAAAAAGTTGAAAGAACAGTTGTAAAGCTGGGGTGTAACTCTATAGGTGAAACCTCAGCCCTGCATCCTCGCTCTTGGACCTCTGGTTGGGGGCAGTGAAGCCTTCCCAACCCAGCACTAGTCCTCACCCCTCAGTCCCGTTCATTACCTTGTCCTGGAGCCTCCTGACTTCCCAGTTTCTCTGAGATCTGGGGTCTTGGCTTCGAACCCTGGAATGTGTAGCTGGGCATCCCCTCCAAGTTGCCTGTCTGCCTAACAACCTGAGCTTGCCAGATTGTCTGTCAAACTCCCCAGTCACCAAGCCTCGTGCGTCATAGACACACCTAGCTGGCCTTGGAAAGACTCACTGCTCCTGAAACTTCTCCCTGTGGCTGGAATCCTAGGGTCTATTTGACCTCTAATCTTGGACATCTCTAACTCAGCCTCCCTGTAGCCAACTCAACCCTGGTTCCAACCCATTCTGTGCATCTCAAAATTGTCTAGCTTTCATTAAGACTTCTGTTATCTTTGAGATGTACACGTGTCCTTATTTCCAGAGATTGCAGAGAAATTAATTACACTAAAAAGCAGTCATAAATTACATATTAGCAAATATGGCAATTAAAATCCTGTTCACATTTAATATGAGAAGAAAAAAAAAACCCTCTGATTTATTAATTTCTTTTTACCACAGAAGATACTGGCTGCTTTTGGGGGATGGGGGGACGATTTTGTTTTTTTGTCATTTCAAATACTTCGTGAGACCAGGTGGAAGAAAAATAAATATGTGTTGCTTTGCATTAAGAAATAGCATGTTCAGAAATAACATTTAAAACCTCTATGGGGCTCACTTTAAGGAACAGATTTTCAATACTGCTTTAATCAAGCCCCTTTTTCTTGATTAAGCCTGTCACTACTCAGTTCAAAATACAGAGCAGTCAATAGCTGGCCTGTCCACTTGCAATTATGACATATGAAATAAGTGAGCATAACTACAAATGCAGAAAAGGAAGACTGTAAATTCAGCCCTGGAGACTTGGGTGCTGTTCCTTCTCTTCCCGCCACCCCCCTCCTCCCACCCCACGCTGGGGCTGTTTTTACCTTAATAAGATTCTACTACAAGACCCTATTTTGAGGGCAATAATTGGTTTAACATCTTACTCCAGGATTATCCCATAAGAACCCCACAGTAGTTTAAGGTATTTAAATGCAAACAGCCTTAAAGATGTACTAAGCTCCTAAATCTTGATCCCATCAAAGCCACAGGCTTCTGTATCCTTAGATACAAAGAACCCTGGCAAGGAGAAACCTGTGTTAGCCAACAAAGGGAGGAAAAAGATTTGTAAAGTAAAAAGACTTCCTGGATCTAATTTATGATGGGGCAAACAGTTGCCCTGTTTTGATATAATTTAGGAAAGGTACATAGCAGAAGTAAGCAAGGGCAGAAGTTTAAGATAATGGGAAAGGTGCTGCATGTAGGGTTGGTCAGATCAAGAGTCTAATCTCAGCTCTGCCAATAACCTGATGTGTGACTTTGGCCATCCAGCGCTGTCTTGAAACTTCAGTTTCTTCATCTCTAAAACGATGGGCCTAGTGCACTAAGGTCCCTGCCTCAAAAGGGATGGTCAGCCTCTTGGCTCATCCGCTCTGCTCCAAGTCTTCTTCTTAGAACTGACCCTGTCTCTTCCCCATCCCCTGTTCACACCGTTCCCAGTCGCTGTGGTGGGGACCCAGCCAGCCATGTGCATCCTGGATACAGCTTGTCAGAGCTGGGGGCAACCCAACTGTAGGCTAGGCCAATGAGCCCCTTCCCTGGGGAATTAGGAACTGGGAATAAGGGATATGGAACGGGAGCTGCCATGGTGCCTTCTCCCCCTACCCACCTTCCCCCCAAAAATATAAAACAAGCAGAGAGAAATGCAGGGACTCTAACCGGGATGGGGTTTCTTTTGGGTGTGATGAAAATGTTCTGGAATTAGATAGTGATCATGGTTGTATTCTTTTGGGAATATAATAAAAACCATCAAACTGTACGCTTTTAAAAAATGAATTTTATGGTACGTGAATTATATGAATTATATCTCAATTTTTTTTAATTTAAAAAAATGTTTAAAGGAAGAGCAGGGTCTGGATTTCTTGCTTTTCCACAACCCCTTAGCCCCATGTCTACTAACAGATTTTGTATCTTGTAACAACTTCCTCTATTTGCTTAAATAAGTGGCTTTCAGTTACTTGAAAACAAAGGAGTTCCAATGAATGTATCCCTAATATCCAATGTTATAAATTAACAGCTATAGTTAAGAGAGTAAAAATCTCTCTTTCAATTCAAATTTAAGTTGGAACAGAGGTTCTGGTTTAAAAACAAAAACCAGGAAGGATAACACCCTTCCCCAACACTTGTCACAGTGTACCCCTCAAAATACCAGTCCATCATACCTCAAAAGGGGAAAAATATGTATACAGTCAAATAAGCTGGAAAATGTAATCTACTACATGTCCCCTTTGTAGAACTGGATTACATAATAGCATATTAAACCTGTGATGAATTTAACACTGTTCAACTAAACATTTTCCCAGCTTATCTGGCCTCATAAGCCTTTTCCCTGATAGCCCACCTATTAATAATATGAGGGACTGTGTTCCATGGAACACACTTCGGGAAATGCTGTCCTAACCCAATCATGGACACATTCCAGTCATATCTATAGAAATCCACTGGGTAAAGGGTAGAATTCAGATAGCCATCAAGATGATTCCATCCTAAAGAAGGCTTTTATTTTATCTCGATATTTCCTTAGTATTCGCCTGCTTTGCTTACCACAGCATTTCATTTAAAATAGATCAAAATAATCTTTTATGTATACATAAAAAGAGGAAAACTAAAACATGATTTGGGGCGCAGTTTTCTCTCTTTAGACTTAATCAATAGCACTTACCTTGATGTGAAACTCCAGGTTTTCATCCATGGAATAGATGTGGTCAAAGATGTCATGTGCAATCCTTGGGATGATCCCCATGAGTTGAGGGTCATGTAGCTTCCCCTAGTGAGGGAAAAACACAAGCACAGGCAGCTAAAGAGTGCCAGGAAACATGTGGAAGGGAGAAGGAACCACGCTGGTTTTCATAACAGAACTCTGTGGAAGAGGGAGCACCGCCCCGCCCCCCCCACACACACCGTCAGATCCTTGGAGGTCCACCTGATGTGCCAACAGCCCAAAAGTTCATGGAAATAACTCAACGTGTTGCTTTTTACCCAGCAGGAGAGAGCTTGTTCTGTCAGGCTCTGGGGCTTGGAAATATTTGCTTCTGCTGCTACTCAGGGCAGCAAATCGGTGTATGTGGGTGAGAGTGTGGGTAGAAAGGAGGGGGGAAGGAAGACAGGAGGACTGGGATTATATGGTGACTATCACACACTAAATGGGTCTTTGTTTTGAAATTCTGACAAACTGATCAGAATGTATAAGTCCAAATTAATCTGCTTTAATAAAACCAGCTTGAGAGCTGATAGTTTCATTAATGTCATCATTGCTCAAAAATTTTAATAATCTTATTCTAGAAATACCTTCAGTATCACTTCACAAACCAATCAAGAAAAGCCATTTTATCAATTTCTTAAAAATCTATAATTCCCAGCCTAAAATGTTACAAAAAAATTTTAGCTGTTTCTTTAATTTTTTGCTATTTCTAATACTTAAATTCACTGGTAAGATATTCTCTTATTCTTTTATCTCCCTTTTTTTCTACCAGAGAGCTCCAGCCCTCCCTTCTGCATGCAGCCAGCAACCTCCTCCAACCCTAAAGAGGTTTGAGAGATATTTTATCTAAGGGGTGAAGGGATAGATGAATTTTTCTGTGATTTGAACTATTTTACTACATCCATTTTTAAAGATCCAGATTTGCTGCTTCTAAAGACTTTCAAAAAGATATGCCATAGTATCTGAAAGCAATTCCTAAACAAGAGTTCTAGAAGTATTTAAACAGCAGCTTCAGCAAGGACTCCCAGAGAGCCTTCCTTACAACCATGCTCCACGTTCCGTCCTGTTCCATGTGAAACTACGCATCAGTGCACAAACACAAAGTCTGCAGGTCTAAAGTAATGATTGGCAACAGAATTCCCAGCGTTTTTGAGACCTTCAGAAAGTTACAAAACTCTAGGAAAAATGGAACTGGAAGAAAAGTACAAAACACATCTACTCTTCACTCAGCAACTTTACCAACCCTGTGACTCATATCCTTGTTCTAAATCTGCCCGACACCTGGAAGATCCGCTTTGTTTTCCTCAATCAGATCTTCTGTATTCTTTGGGGGTGGGTTCACCACATAGTGCCTCTCTGACATGCTGACTTTCAAGCCAACATTTGAGTTACCGAAAGCCAAGAAGTCACGCGGACTCGGGCACTAACTCCAGGCCACAAAGCACTTTACGTTATGAATCCTCCTTTGCACACCTGATCCCTAACCTTCCATTCTTTTGAAAGCAAGGGAAAAGCTGAATTTAGATACATCTGGCCTCTGGCAAAGCTCTTTTACCTGGGAAAATGGGTATTCCCCTGGAATGCCCTCATGTGCGAAGAATCCTAAATCATGTGATGTGTTTATATGGCTTTTTGACCGAACAGTCCCCGAGGGCAAGATGGCCAGTGCATATGTATTTCTCCCCACTGCTTACGACACTTAGTACAGGGTCCCCTGCATAGAATTACTGTAGAAGTTAAATTAAGCAGTATAAATAAGGTGCTTAGGAACAATAAATGTTAGCATTATATTATTGAGCTCCTATCAGGTTCTCATTAAGCAATCGTAATGGTTTATTTGACCTGAAGAGTCTGAAAATACATTTCTATCCCAGGCCATGACTATATATCTTAGGAAAACAGCCCTAAATGACTGAGACTCAGAATCTCTCAAATGTTGGTAAGCTTACTTCTCACAGGCCATCATAAACATCAAATATTGGGCCCCACAGGCTCAGGACTGTGCAAATTGCTGACAGAAATGACATGAACAGTGAAAACACAGATCTCTGTCCAGTCAAATGCTGTGATGCCACTGGGCAAATCCACCTCAGAGTCTGAGGAGTGCCCCCCACGCTCCCCCCAGAACCCTTCAATAATCCATCATAATCCTTTAGCTTCTACTCAGTGGTCCACAGACAAAGAAGGATGAGAGATAATCCAAAAATCATTTATAAATGACTCAAATCTGTTTCCCTAGATTCTTTCCCTTCCAAAAGATTTATCTTCCAATCGATTCCTAGCTTATACAAATATTGACATCCCTTTGTTTGCCTTTGTCAGGATAAGAACCAAGGCAGAACCAGAGATGAGTCTGGGATACTCCCTGTGTCGTTTCCCTGAAGCCCACACCCAAAAATCACATGAGAGGGAAGCACACGTTTATTTGGAGAAGGCACAACGATACCTCCCATTCCTATGGTCATAGAAGTAATACTCAAATCTACCACAGGTTTCGGGGCTGGGATGCTTGACCTGGCTCATAAGCCCAAGAGTGGTGAGAACTGAGCCTTTATGTTCAGCCTGCCAAGACAATCTGTGTATGTGTGTGTGTGAGCGTGCACATGTGAGGGGGTATACGTGGTACATGGTGTGGATGTGTGTGATGTATGATGTGGGTGTGAGTGGTGTTGAGGGGGTGTTGATGTGTGTGATGTGTATGTATGAGATAGGTGTTCCATTAAGGTCTTCACTCGTTTTTGCAAATAAAATACACATCTACACGTACGCAGTAGTCACCTCAGGCAATAAAAGGTGGTAAAAAAGCAGAGAGCTGTAAAAATTCAGAGAACAGAAGAGTGCTTTCCAGCTGGGGTGATATGGGATGGCTTCCTTGAGGGACACCAAATCTTGAGAGAGGAGGAAGATGAGGATGGGCAAAGGGGATGCAGCAGGGAAGCTGAGAGGACAGTAATGTAGCAAAGGTATGGGAACTGAGGAAGAATAATGCCCTTCTAGAGAGTCAGGACAAGTTCAGTTGGCTGAAGGATCGGGATGGACTTCAGTAGCAAAGGAATGTCCCACTTCATCACCTTTTTTTAACTCTCAGAAAAAAAAAGAACATTTTTATACTTGTATCCTACATAATCCTCTTCAAAAACTTCTCCCACTTCTGAATGTGGCCTTCTCAGGGCACGTGTGAAAGAAGAAACCAGACGCAGGCCATCAACCACAGAACAAGACTCCCTTTGTTCCAGCCCCAGGTGCCTCCTCAACCTCCCAAGCAGGACAGTTTCCTGAAACACTTAAGATGGGAAAGCAGGCAGCCTGTCAGCTCACACGAGCACCAATGCCCTCGGACAGGCTCATTAAAAATCCCTCGGCAGGCTTGGCTCAGCAGTGGGGTGGCCTGCACCATTCCATGGGCTCCAGGTGTCCCTCTGGGCAGAAGGAAAAACAGCGTGTCTCCATCCATCTAAATCTGTGCCAAAGAGGGCCACAAAGCCAGGCACGGGGCCCAGAGAAGCCCTTCCCAGCACCACAGGCCGAACAAAGGTCCAGCCCTCTCTTCCCCGTATAGTCAGCAACCCCAGCAGCCGTCCTTCAACCCAGCCCTGGGAACACTTGGCCGCAGATGCCCTGGGCCCAGTGCACGACGGTGTCCTACCAACCTTGGCATCAACACTGTCAAGTGTTTCATATTTTTACTGAAAATCCGCCTTAAATGCTCCATCTTCAGAAGCTAATCTTTCCAATTTCACGTAGGCTTATCTGTTTGTTCTCCTCAATAGAAGGTAATGGAATCACCACTGGATGTCAGGCCAAAAATGAGGGGATTAAAATGAAAAACAGCTTTAAAATGTGACAGCTCTGTCCATTCAGGGAGTTAACATCCCCTTCCAAAAAAGCCTTGGAAAGATCACAATGTATAATTCCGAATACATAAAATCCTTTCAGATTTTTTGTTTGTTTTTTTTTAAATTTAATTGCATTCCAGGGTCCTGGATTTCTCAGTCTCCCACAGTCTCTACGACTTCAGCTCGGGGCTCCTCCTTTTCTGTTTTCCTCTAAAATATCTCCTACCTTCTCTCCAATCTATACCCACTGGACAGAAAGAACCAGACTAAGTGTGTGTGTTGGGGAGGGGGGCTAGGACAGGGCTCCCCTCCACCCCGTCCCTTCCTCCTATGGGCATAACTCATGATCTTCAGAAGTCACGATAAAGAAAAGCACCCCTTGCAATCAACCTTTTAAAACTGACGTGGACGGAAAAGCTACAGAATTTAGGCAACTGTGGGAGTAACCGGCATTAGAAGCCAGTTCCCTTTAAGTGCCCCCGAACCTCTCCGGCTGAGCGGCGCTGCAGGCCTTGTAAGGCTCATGCTGTCAGACGTCCAGGGCTCCGGACACCCTCGTGTAACAAAACATTTCCGATTTTCATTTTAAAAAGCTGGCATACGTCTTTGCCATCTCCTTACACCCACTGATTCGCGCCCCCCCCCCAACACACAACACAAACTAAGATTTTACTCTGGGGACAGGTCTCTCCTTTGATGGTTTAGAATTTTAATTTCTGACATTGAGCAAATATGTTGTATTTCCCAAAGACAAATTAATCCCGAAGCTAAAAAGGTCACTCTTGTAAACAGTCCTTATGATTTGGGGGATTCTAAATACTGCATTTTTTGTTGTTATTTTGTATATTGTTTGGTAATGTTCCCAAAACCTAGAGACTGATGGACACCCTCATGAGATGTCCCCTCTCTCTCTTACACCTTATGGCCTATGAAGGAGCTTCTGTCATGGCTACTGGAGTTGCTAGTACTTAGGAAATACAGAACTGCAACTTTGCTAGTGCCTGGAAGGTTAAGGGTCTGGGGCCCAGTAAGAGAGGAAGGCAAAGGGCCGCGCCTGCATCTCCAAGGTGTACTGCATGAGAATGGGAGATGCAGAGAAGAGCGTGGCCAAGGCTCAGGTGTCAGGGAACAGTCCTGCTCCGTCCAGAAGCAGTGGCAAATAAACCTCGTGCTTCCTTTAATATGTGTGATCTCGGAGCCACTGTCCCCTGCAAAATGGGAAAGTGACTCAACACAACAGAAATGAGATTCCCCCAGAGTCACACGCACACTTGAAATCGGTGTGAGCAGAACATCAGAGCCCCAAGAGTTTTAGCCTAGTGCCTTTGAAATCTCCTCTTCAATAGGAATGATTCATAAAGCTAAACCGATTCTGCAGCAGACGTCTCTCAGTAACATTCCCAAGAGGGTACCGTAAATGAAAATCCTAAGCTTGAAGGATCAAGGATTCATCTTACCCTGCTGCTTGTAAGCTGAATTCCCCAAACTTGCTCTGCGCAGTGTCTTGTAACCACCATAACCACTCTTCTCACCTGTCAGGGGGGCCCAGCCTTTAGAAGAATATCCGGCCCTGAAGGGCTTACAGGAGGACAAAAGCAGGGAAAGAAGAGGTAAAGGGGGCCAATTTTATCTGCAGATGTGCCTTGTCTGGAAGACAGCCTGGAGCCACAGGGCTCCACAGCCACAGGCTTTGAGCTGGGCTCACACCTTCACACGCCCACAGAGGTCAGGTGTGTACGTTAATGACAGAGGATGCTTCGCGTCAGTCCATGCTCACAGTGTGCATGCAGGGGGCTGGGATGGACTGGACGGCCCAGCCCACACACAAGGGTTGGCCACGGTCATCCCGAGGCTATCAATTTAACAAATATTTTATCAAATCCCTCCTGGATGACAGCCGCTGTTCCATGCACTAGAAATAAAAATTTTCTCGATATACATTTTATTGATCTGAGGTTACTGGAGTGTGAACTGGGGTCAGAAAAGAAAGTGGGATTTTCCTTCAGAAATGTGAATGAACAGGTGAACAAGACAATGACGATCTCTGCGCTAGTGAAGCCTACACTTTATATTATGGTGAAATTTCGCCCAGTTGTAGGATCTTCAGAATTCTCAACCAAATTTGGAAACTCAGAATTGTGTGAAATTTTAAGCACTGCCTGCAATTAAAAAATACATATAATAATAATAAATTAAAAATTTTTAAAAACACATGGTGCAGACCAAACAAAAATATGTCTCTGGGCTGAATTTGGTCCACAAGCCAACTTCTTTACATCTCTGTCCTACAGTTTTTTAATTTCCTCTGAGGAAACTCACCTCCCCAGAGTGGCCTTCCTTAGCATAAATGATTCTCACAACAGACTTTCTCAGTTGAGATTAGGGTCGCAATCCATAAGGATACTCACACCACCGTTTAGCTTACTGATGAGTCTTTTTTAATAGAATGTACTATTACCATTTTGAGAGAGCTACCAACAAAGGATTTTTTAAAAGTTCTGAACCCCTGAGATTTTATTACCATTATTTTGAAACTCCACAAATACAAAATAAGTTGGTCAAACATGACCAGTCCCTTAACCACCTCTCTCACGCGCAGTCAAGGGGCTGCATGCGCCTGAATGTGGCTGGTCACACAGTGCTGCTGAGCGACCCAAGAGAATGCCTCACGGCACGCTGCAATCTTACCTCCATGGTGTGCGTTTTTCCTGATGAGGTCTGTCCGTATGCAAAAATCGTCCCATTATAACCTTCAAGGACATCTGCAAGCAAGAAAAAGAAATTAAAATTAACTCATTACTTTGATCGTATGCTAGTGTTTGTCCCATATTTTAAAATTACATTTTCCAAATGGCCCATCTCATTTTTCACACAAATGATGTATTTCAACTCCATTTACATTTTAAATAGAATTGTGAGATAAAAGCAAAAACTGTTCCACAAATAAGAAATGTACTCACATTCCTACAGAATATATTAATGAAGAAAGAGGCAAAAAAAAAAAAAAAGAAAGAAAGAAAGAAAGAGGCAGACATCCTCTCTCCCAGTAACATCAACATTAAGACAGATATCGAGCAGTACACTTCCTTTTTAGCAGAAAGATACTTGAATTTTCTTCTCTAAATTGATCTCCTGAGAGGAGGAAGAAAAACATTATCAGTGGCCTGAGTCTCTGGAGTGAGGTCTGGAATAGAATTTCTTTCCGAAAGATCTGATTTGGGTCAGTTGAAACGCCAGTGCAGGTGAGCTCCTTGGGGATGTTTCTCGGGAAGGCCATCTGGAGCCCCTTCAGAACAGAGTGAGTCCAGAACTGGGGGAGAAGGACAGGGCCCCACTCTGTAAACCCAGCCACACGGGGACAATCCAATCAGCCCGGAAACTACCGGGGCCCTCACTCAAAGTTAAGGCCTTTGGTTTTTTGGTGACTGTGCTAGCAGGACGGCCCAGGCCCATCAGCATCAGGAATTTCTTTTAATTACACAATGAGCACACTGTGCAAAGCCCCGCACACGGCAGGCCGGCTTCCATTTCACACAGGGACGGGGGAGGCGTGCAGACAGGCTGCTTTGCACTGAAGATTATCTGTGGGGATTCCTTCCACGCAGCAGAGGTGATTAAAATATATTTAGCACTCGTTTCCCTCAATCCTCCTTCATCTGCATCAATATCACCAAAAGGGAAACAGTACATGATTAATATCCTTGACCCAACATCCCTACTAAGGGGAGAAGTCTCATTCCTGAAAGGACAGTGGGGCCAACAAGAGGAACCCCTTACTGAGGCGTCCTCTTCGGGGCCACTGGCCTCTTCACTCATCAAATGTTTAGGCTGGTTGGTTTGTGGTTTTGGCCTCTCTGAATTTCATTATGCCGGGTAATTTTTGTTCTTTTGTTAGCTTTTCTAAATTTTTTCAATATACATTTTATTGACCTGAGGTTACTGGAGTGTGAACTGGGGTCAGAAAAGAAAGTGGGATTTTCCTTCAGGAAGTTAAAAAAAAAGAGAGAAATTAAGCAGCAGAATTTTTTTTTTTTTTTAATCCTAACAGCCCTTGAGAGTTTGTGTCAAGCTATATCGAGAGAGAGGAGGGAGGGAGAGAAGGTTCACACACATCAAACTTCTGGTAATGGTTTCTTGGGAACAGGAGAAGCAAAAACTTGAAGACCACAGTGTCAGGGTTGGAGGTTCAAGCTTCAGTTTTCACAGAAACGCCAACTTGCTCAGAGAACAGATTCAGAATGGAGAGCCTCTAAACGACCATGAATGCAATGCACTTTGAGGGACACAAGGAAAGAGGTTCCCACCCTGCAGTTGTACTTATAAAATTCTACATTCGTGGCATAAACAACTCCAGGAATGCCAGCCACAGTCACCGCACTAAAGCTTCTGTTCATTAGAAATCACACATCTCCCCGTAAACTGAACGGGCTTCCTTACCTTCAGCCCCTTTGTAGGAGGCACTCTGGGACCTACCAGCCCAGGCATTATTAGATCAGGGGTACGGAGGCCGAGGCCAAGGGTCCAGCTCCCTCTGCCGCTCCTAAGAGGCCACTGGCGACCCTGCAAGTGCACATGCACGCTGGGGTGACTCTGAGCAATGCGCCGCACCCTAAAGAAAACTCAGCTCACAGCCAGAGCCCCACAGACAAGAGAAAACCCGGCATATGCTTCCTCCTCTGCCACGAAGCGGTGGGGCCGGGGCACCTGAATCAGGCTCCCCCGGACAGGGTCCACACCTCCGAATCCAACCTCCCTAAGCAGAATGCACCATCGTACTAACTCCCTAGTTAGCTGCTGCTCCCCAAACTCCTGCAGGGTAAGGCCTGGGACACACCCAGGGAAACAAGAGCTCATGGAGAGCACCACTTGTTTTGGAGCAGGGGGCTAAGGAACACGTGAGACTCTACTTGGAGAATCCTTGACTTTTGCTGCTATTTCAACACGGGGTGCAATTACTTTTTTTTTTTTAAGGAAAAGAGAGCACAAAAAACCCCATCAGAACAAACTCTGCTTGGTCTTTAAAGTACTATTTACAATCATGTTACAATTAATTCATTGTTGGAGAACCTATCTCTAGTGTTCAAGGTTGAACAGAGCCGATGCCCTCTATCAACTCAAGTGTGAATTAAATGGTAATTTTAAAAAGAAAAGAAAAAGCTCTTCGAACCCAGCGTTCTCGATTTTCTTCCAAACTCCAGGTTGTGGGGGTCGGTGTGCTTAACCACGTCTATGTTTGATTCTCAGGGGGGAGGAGAGGCAGGAGGGGAAGTGAGCACACACAGTGCATTTGGGTTGGAGCGCTGGCATGGAGGAGGCCGGAGCGCCCGTCAAGGAAAGCAGGATGGGAGAGCGCCACGCTGAGCCACACCCCACCCCCACCCGACCCTAATAGAAACAGCCCACAAAAAGGCACTTTCATCCCATTGAATGACAGTTCCTGGGCCCAAGGAAAGCATTTGTTTCAGAGCCTCTCCCGTAGCAGAATGACCATGTCTATGCGCCAGCCGCAGAGCCAGGAACCAGCTCGGCCAGACAGAACCTTGCTTTGTGACAGGCTCTGGCGTGATGTGATCTCAGCTCACGCCACACAGCCAGCAGCACCCACAAAGACAGCACATGTCCGTCCAGCAACCAGCAAACCCAAAGAGAGATTCCACTGCAGGTAGGAAGAGGAGGGTGAAGAAGAGTGGGATACTTGAGAACACTTCTCGCCTCTTGCCAGTTTTCCATCCTAGGTTTTGCTAGTTCTGAGTCCAGATCTTGCTAGAGCGGAAGAGTTAGTTTCACTGTTGGGTAAGACCTTGGGGAGGATGTAATCGTAGGAGTTCCTGAGAAGGCTGTCATGGCCTCCTACCAACTCCCCAGGTGAAATGGTGGCCTGTCAGTGGCAATAGTGACTGATGAGTCATCCCTGCTTTGGAGTCCTAAGGCTCTGGCTGGCCAACCAAACTATTCAAGTAGACATACACCCCAGGCAGACCTACTGCACACTAGGGGCAAACCGGAACGGCGGGCCGGCCAGTCTGACGGGGAGGGCTCTGCTGCGTCTTCAGAATGGAAAGGCATCTCACTGTTGGAAGACAGGCAGGGCCACCCCAAAGCTCTGGGACCGCAATCTCTATTCTCTCCCCTCTCCCCTTTTCCCACGGCCATTCCTATCCCTGTCTTTTTGCAATGCTTGGTTAATAGTACATATGGCCTGATAGAAAAGTAACAACTCATAAATTGTTACTAAATGCTCATTATGAGCTCACCAGAAAAGCCCGGAAAGGATAGTGCAGAAAAATTCAAGGAAGACAGGCAAACTCAGGCTCAAATTCCAGCCTCACCACCCCCTAACTGACCTGGCCAAGTTCTTTGACCTCGAAGTCCTCCTTAGTACAACAGGAACAATAATGCTCACACCTCATAAAATGGTTGAGACTTAAAAAATACAATAACATATGTGAAGTGCATAGACGGTGCCTGACGGTTAACAGTAGCCAAATATATATATACATTTCTTCTTAAGAGTCACATACCACATAATAAAGTAGATCTTAGAGTATTCTGAGCTTAAAACTTGTCAATGAGTCCACATTGCCTGAAGGATAAAGCCCATCCATTTCCACCAAACTCTGATCCAGCCTATCTTTTAAGTCCCAGCCCCCAGGTACCTTGCAACACTCTAAATTGCCCAAACATGCCATATAATCTGTGTCCTTATGCTTCTGCTGTTCCTTGTGCTTGTACACCCTGCTGCATTCTATAGTCTTCAGGACCTATCCTTTCCAAGAAGCCTTCCTTAATTCTCCAATCCTCATCCCCACTCACCAAAATCAGTCCCAAGTGACTTTCTTCTGTGATCCCACAGCACTTTACACACGGCCACCTTAAAGCATGTACTACCCATAGGTATGATAACCACGGATGCATCTGTCTGTTTCCCTATACGTGAAGTTTTTTGCAGACAGTCTTATATATCTTGGTGACTCTAGTCCGTAACAGTGCTTACATCACACAGTAAATACTTAATATCCTTGCATAAAGGAATGGGTAAAATAAACAACCAAATGAATGAAGCCTAAACAAATGAGATCTAGAAAACAAGGAACCACCTTCTCTAGCCCTGCACAGTCCACATCTAGTTAAGTTAAAAGGCAAATGCCCAGAGTGACTTCTGTAGACTAGGACATAGTTCCCCATACTTCCAACAACAGCAAGCAGTAACCATGGTTTTTAATTCTTAGCGCGTCCACAGAAACCCTCCTATTTACCATGCTGAGAGGCACAAATCCTATAAGCTCTTCTGGAAGAAACGGAGAATTCTACATACTCTTTCAGACAACATTTGGAAAACACACACGAGACAGAGATGGGAGTGTGGGAGGTACCAGAATTCTACAATCAAATGTTTGAAATATGTTTTGAAAAACCCAGTGAAGTTGAAGGGAATGAAAAAAACCAAGAGAGAATAAAGCCATCCAGTTAAAAGGGATCTTCCTGATCTCAAAAACATTAAGGGTTCAGATAGCCTTGAAAGAAAATCTCACCAGTCCACCACATTACCATGAACCGTGGGAGCTGCGGTGACCTTCAGAAGTTATCTGATTGAATTCCTAGCCTCTAGAAAAAGAGGCCCCACAGCACCACCTTCCTTTCCTGATTTAAATAGGGCTTGTCATGGCAAAAGAAACCTCAGTTGTACCTAGTGACAATTCCAAGGAGTTCTTTCTTAAATATCTGTGTTTTACCTTGCTGATGCAGAAATAACACGGCCACTTCCCCTCATGCTAGCCTCAGTGGATATTAAAAAAAGTTAAATTAGGCCTTCGTCATCCCCTAATAATTTCCTTTCAAGGAAGAAGAAAGAACTCTTTATTGTTACAAAATGAGTATGCTCACATTACATTTATAGTGTCTGAAAAATATCAGTTTATCGTATCATGTCAGAGTCTAACGTTACCCTAAATGGTTTTCTTTGTGGCTCACCATATATTGGGCCTCAAGTTATCCAGTTAGGTCACATCTTCACAAGAACTTTCCAAGGACTGCCTATTTCTGACATTTCATACTACAGAAAAACCAAACACTGAAAGAGACCCAACTTCTCCAGTAATGAAGACTGAAAGATTATGATTGTTTGTTAATCACAGGATTTTTTAAAACTGGAGTGCATCCATCTCTAATTACATCAACTTAGAGATGTATTTAAATGGACCTCATGCGTAGCACAGCACGTGGTAAATACTATTTGGTTCTGATAATGGAAGGGGAGAGAAAAAGAGGGAAATTATGGCTCACATGTGATTAATCTTACTTTAATAAAAATAAGGACGAGTCTGCTAATGGAAAGGAAGGAGGGCTGCCTAGGAGCAAACCAGAACAACACACTCCAGAGAGAGAGAGAAAACATTTTTAGACAGGAAGAGATACAAAAGAATAGAAGTAGGGAGAAAACAAACATCACCACCAGATACAGGCCCACAGTATTAATTCAAGAAGAGCCCAAATTCAGGCATGTTTTTTCTCTTCAGTTTTCTGTAATGATCTTACTGTGAAGACCTTCAAAATTAATTGATGTCTGCAACCGGAATTTGAACAACCATACACCTCAGCGAGGAACATTACATACTGACTGAATCTCCCACGCAGGTGTCCAGGGTCAGAACTAATCTAACAGATGCACCCAGGGCTGGCTTTCATGAATTTCAAATAGTTAGGTTAGTCAGCTCGGCTTCCAAAAACAAGCACATCTTGCATGACGAGGTGCTTTTTGAACGCTGTTTTTGCTTTCTTGCTCTTTAAATCTACAGCTACCTATAAAGGTGGCAACATCAGGGCATTTGAGAGCACAACTGACATAGCATTCAGAGTTGAAGGTTAAGAGTCGAAGATGAAAAACCCAGGAGCAGGAGATGCCCCTCGGCTCTGGCCAGATGGCGAGCTCCCCCAAGGCAAGCTCCAGCCTGCCCCTGATTTGAAAGAGCAAGGTAGAGCAATGTGTAAATTGCTTCATCTCCCTGCTGTGATTTTGACACAAATCCTTCAGGGCCAAGGCCAGTCCCAGAGAAAAGAGCTGATCTCTAAGACAATTTTAGGCTTCAGGCTATCTATCTGGAGGAACAAATGTTGGTCTCTGGGTGGAAAGGTTGAAAGTGGGTTAGACGAAAGTATATTTAAGGAATGCTGAGTAGCAAGAACTGCTCAACAACCAACAAGGTGATGTGATTTTATGATTCTGCAGAAAATTCCTTGGTGCCCAAGAATTTTCCACGTGTGAGGCTTCTGCCTGAAGAGACAGATGAACAAAATAAATCAGCCAAAAATATACAACCGGAGCATCAGAAATACATATATTTTTGTCTCCTTCAAAGTAAAAAGGAGGCCTTATGCCTACGGCAGTATTTTAAAACCGTTACAGAAATAGTTGTGACCGTAGCTTCTAAGCTTCTAGGTGGCAGAATAACTCTGTCAAAAAGGTGGCAAAGGAAATAAAGAAATTTCCTTGGCGAGGAGGTATAGAGAGGTTCAAGAACTTGCCTGACATCATAGCAAATCAGGGCCAGAGTTCGGGCAATAAGTCAGTGTTTCCAATTAGCAGGCTTCTGCTTAGAGTCAAGGCACATTGATTCCTAGGCTGCAAATATCACTTAATGTTTTCAATTACTCTGAAAGGCCCAGGAGGAAATAAAGAAATAGCACTTACCTTTGACAATTTGCTTTGCACACGCATTGTAAACCTGCTCTTGGGTCGTGCTGGGAGGCAGCACTCTATCGAAGACATATGGCTTCCCTTGCTAAAAAACACGAAAGGAAAGGGCAGAGAAAACACATTAGAAGTTTAGGTATAAAAAGCACTAATAGTAGTTAGACCACAGGCACTAAATCACAAACCCCATCCTTGAAGGCAGTTCCATACCAAGACTAGGGAATTATTACAGTGCGAACACACATGTACGATGGGCATATATGTTTTGCATGTTGAGAATCTCAGAAAGCAAAAAAAAGGTTTGTTTTGTTTTTACTTGAAACACTTTTTCTGATGAAAAGTAGGTTGCGGCTTCATCCATTCATTTATTTTTTGAGAGCTTCTTCTGAACCAGAGACTAGACTAGAGGCTAAACAAATCAGAAAACAGTCCGGCCTATAAAGCATTCACTCAAGTGTGGCAGAAAGCTACTAAACAAGAAAGCAAACACCCGGGGAACTACAAAAATGCCTAGGTATAAAATAATGAGACAGAGGGGATGATGGAGAGAGCAAAACAGGCCTCCCTGAGGAAATGCCAGTTAAGTGGATCTTTAAAAGATCAGAAAGACTGAGGCAAGTGAAGAGCCATGGAAGAACATAGAAGACAGCGCAGAGGGTAGAGCACACAGGAAGGGGTCTGGAGTGTTTAAGGAACTAGAGGGTGGCACAAAAGGAGGTGAGAAAGGAAATCAGGAGCCACTTAATGCAAGGCACTGTTAGCCAAGAAAATGTGCTTGGATTTTATTCAATGGGAAGATGCCATGATCAAATTTAAGAAGCTGCTCTTCATAGCAAGATATTACTGCTTTGAATCCTAGTATTGTCTTCATATGTATAAGTGATGCCTTAACTGGATGGAGGCCTCCAAGTCACAGAGGGCTCTTCTAAAGAATAAATCAAGTGATTGCCCCATGTGTAGGATCTTAGGGTTTGGTCTGACACTGGGCCATGTGCTATTCAAGGAAGTAACTGTCAGAAGGGAAGGGAAGAAGCTCTGCCCTGGTCTATATGAGCCCTGACCCCCAACCACTCAACGTTCACCAAGGAGCTATTGGGCATTTACGTGCCAGGCACAGTCCTGAGGACCATGGAAGGTGGTGGCTGAGACAGACACAGCCTCTTCCAAAGGAGAACCCGCCCCACCAACAGTGCCTTCTTCCCACCATCACCACCCAGACAAGGGGTGGCCCTCCCCCTGCCCTTTCCCACAGCCCGATCCACCCAAGCAGCCCTTCATCTTCGTTTTCCCCTAGTGGTTAGAGGGGATGGCAGGAGAGGAAAGAGGAGAGCCCAGAGTCTCCTTCACCCCCATCCTGCACCTCCTACATGTGGCTTGGACACCAGGACCCTTTACCCCAGGACAGTCCTGCCAATGCCTCAAAAAGATAACTGCTCATGAGGGGCCCAAGGACAAGGCTTGTTACATCCTATAACTTTCACGCAAAAGTACCCAGCTGTCAGACTGGCGTGGCGTTGTACTCATTCATGACTCTGGGTAGTGCTGCACATAGGTAAGGTCCTATGCTTCAGGTGTTATGTTTGAGCTTTTAGTCTTTGAAAATGGGATTGAGCCAACCAGGTAAATGAGCTACTTCCACAGTTTGGTCTTAGAAGAAATGGAGAATTTTGAGGTACCATAAAAAAACTTTTTAAGTAGGCTCTACACCCAGCATGGAGCCCAACATGGGGCTTGAACTCACGGCCCCAAGATCAAGACCTCAGTCAAAATCAAGAGTTGGATGCTTAACTGACTGAGCCACCCAGGCGCCCCAAGATTTTATTTCTATACAAAGCAGCAGAGTCAGTCATTTTGTTAAACTTATGGAAAGGGGTTATTTTCTGCTGTTTTGTTCCCAGCAGTCTCATTCAATTAGTGAACCAAGTATTTGGTTGAATAACCAAGAGAACATTTCTCACCACTATCTATTGCCAACTATCAGCCCACTACACTCTTATTAGCTTTATCTATTCATAAAATTAACTAAATGTCAATAAGGTAAAAGGTTAGAATAAACATTTACAGAGTTTGCATAAGTATTTGTCATCCATTGAACCTTCTTAAAAGAAACTGTAGCTTTGCTTAATTTCAAACAAATCCATTATTTCTCCAAACTTGATAAGAATCACCAAAATAAACCATCTTATTTCCAGAACAATCATGCTTTGGGTTTTGGAGAACATGCACCTAACTACAGCAGGAAAAATGGCCTATTATAGTAAATTGTACAAAAAAACAGAGGACTCCCCAACTTTGCCCTTCAACCTAAATTGTTTGTTGGAGTACATTATAGGTTCACTTGAAGAGAGGCAGAAAGCAAGAAATCTCTACTACTCATTTAAATAATATCATTTATCAAGTGACAAACAGATAAAACAATTTTCCATAAGCTGAAGTTAACTCCCAAACAGAAACTGCCTTCAAGAAAAGATAAAATTTAGAAAATGATTTGTTTTGAAACTTCTCATCAGGACTGGACTATAAGCAAGTTAAAAAAGTGTTTTTGTCTTTTCATACACTGAGTTGGCTATATAGGCTTTTATTTTAAGTGAACCTTCGACTCTTGAAATTAAAATTGAGAATTAAAATTTAGTTACAGATTATTTTCCAAGAACTGATTTGTGGCCTAGCCATGCGAGCTATATATACAACGGCCATTTAACGACAACAACAGCAAATTACTCTTTGCTACTTTGGTAATGGTATGAAGATCTCACAAACCCTAAGAGACTTCGGCAAACCCCCCTCCCCTGGCCCCCAGGAGACAAGAGTCTCCCTGTTTCTGATCCCACTGTGGCTGAGGGTTTCTGTGGACAAGCACTGGGCCCAGCATGCTCTAGCTGTCATTAAATGTGCAGCTACAGAATACATCCTTCAGCTAACATTTTAATACGGGTGCAGGGTGCTAACACTTGAAACTGAATGATGAGGGCACCAATTACTCCTGGAGACACTTCACTTTCCAGGCACCTATTCAACACATGGTTCTCTGATCTCTCTGGCTCCTCTCTGTCAGAGTCCTTTGCTGGCGTCTCTTTCCGACTTCTAAACGACGGTGTATCCCAGACTCAGACACCTCAGCCTCCTCTCTGTCTACATTCTTGACCTTCACATAATTTAAATGAACATTTCAGACTTCAAATCTCATCCAAGCTCCAGATTCAGATACTCAATCACCCGCTGGACATTGCCACTTGGATTCCATTAGCCATCTAAAACTTAACTGACCAAAAATGAATCATCCAGTGCTCCATATCTGAGTAAGAGACTAAAATCATCAGGTATGTCCCATAAATTCCACATCCCAAATATATCCCAAATTGAACGTTTCTCATCATCTGTATCACACAACCTTAGCCCACACCACCATTGTTTCTCATCTGGACAACAGCTATGGTCTCTTCACTGGTCTCCTTGACACCATTCTTGCTCCTAACAATCCAGTTTCCACTTAGCAGCCAGAGTGAGCTTTCTAGAACTATAAATCAAATGATATCAAATCCTCCCTTAAAAACCTCCACTGGCTTCTGTTAGACTAGACCCTCTTCACCCCCACCTCCCTGCATTCTCCTCTGCCTCACTACAATGTAGCCCACTGGACTCCTTTATTCCTCAGCTTATTCCTCAGTGTATTTCATGGTTTGGGGCCTTTGCTCTTCACTTCCTTCCCCTTCAAATTCTCTCACTGCAGATCTTCATTTGGTTCACCAGACATCTTCATTTGGCTCTTTATCACCCTTTAGATGTCAACTCCAATTTCTCCTCCTTTGAGGGCTTCCATGCTCCTAACTAAAGCAGCCCCACCCCCATCCTGGCATCACTCTCTATCACATTACCCTATTCGGTTTGCTCCATAGCAATTCGTGTGTGATGTATTCTCAACCAATCGAATAGACCACTACAATTAAAGCATTTATGCAGCTAAGACAGAAGCCATATGAATCCCAAGAGCTCACTGCATGGAGGCAAACCTGCTGCAATTTATGAAAGGAATCTGGATGGGACACGCACACTCCATATACATTACAACTGGAAACAAAATAGCCCAGCTTTGCCACAAAAGCCTCCACAGAGAGCAGCAGATTACAAAGGAGCAGTCTAACTAAATAATTTACCAGGATCACAGGCAAAAAAATAACAGCAGATGTTTCTTACATTTTTATAGTTAAAATTAAAAAAAAAAAAATTCAAACCACTTCCTATCAAGTTGTTGAGAGCAAAGTGTCCATGAACCATACAGCCTGCCTCTTAATTCATCTGACCTGACCCATTACCCAACAACCGTTCCCCAGCCTGGAAAGAATATTACTCTGGGAGATGGAGGAAAGCAAAAGACCCACTTCAACATTTAGAAGATGGGCACCAGGAGGAATGTTAAGGAAACTGAAATTAATTACCCAAGAAGAGGTCATGGAGAAGTAATCTAATAATAATCTCTAAGACCAACCAAGGGCTGGGACCAAAGGTGCCCAATTATTTGAATGATTTTTCTCTATCGTTACTAAGAAAGAAAGACACAGGGGTAAAAAACAAAAAACAAAAACCTTAAATTTCCACAGCAAGATTTAAACTTGCTCTGTGGAATTATCTTTAGACACTGAGGAGTATTAGGAAGAGGAACAGATTTCTGAGAACAATCATTCAGTCTCTGTGCCAGGTGTCCTGAAAGTACAAAAGATGACAAATTCTTTCAGCCTCTCCTGGCCACCTTCTCAGTGCCATCTACCCACATTGTCACCAACCACTACCCACACCGTCACCAACCATGATGATCCAAACCCTTTTCTGTTTTATCTCATTTCATTTTCACAGTAGCTCCATGAGGTACATGTCACTATTCCCACGCCACAGACTGGAAAACTGAGGCCCTTTGGGGAAATAACTTGAAGTCTCTGATTTCAAGTGTTCTTCCTTTACACCAGGCTGTTTCCCTAAGCAGCTTATGATTTACTGGAAAAGTAGGAGACACACCAACAGCAGATGCTTAGGACTAATATGATAGATTGAAGCGAAGTGATTCATGAGGTGACAAGAGTCAGAGACCCCTAC